ATTCAGGCTAGGAGGGGAAGAACTGCACCCAATTAAGGGAGATGCTTCCTTGAGTGCCCGGGGCCGAGAGTAATTGCCACCCTCCAGCTGGAACAGGGCTGGGATAGCCTATTCCCGGTGGCCTCTGTTGTCGCTGCTTTCTTTAGAACCCTGGTTGCAAGAACATGGGATTTTCCTCAACTGGGGGCTGCGATATCATAAAAAAAAACAAACCACATTTGGTCTTTGTCCCTGGTTCCTGGGACAGGGCTTCAAAAACCCTTGGAATTTCCTGAGTAATAGGAGCGTCTCTCATTATTCACAAGGAGCCTCTTCGGACCAGGCTATATCTCCGTTTATGCTAATGACGTGGCAGGACCTTGACGTGGGGGTTCTTAGACAGGTTCAAGGTTTGTTCACGCCAGAGACACCAAACATGAGATTAAAGGGTTGGGAGTCTCAGCCCCACGCCCTGGCCTCAGGGCAGGGCGGCTGGAGACTGGGTCTCATCGCTGCTCAGCAGACAATGATTTCATTAGTCGTGTCCGTGTCATGAAGCCTCCAAAACACTCTGAACCATGAGGCTCAGAGGGCTTCCCGGTGGAGAAGGTATCCAGGCACCGGGAGCCAGAGTCAGGGACACAGGGTCCTGCCGCCCTCCCTGCCCCAGACCCTGCCCTGTGCATCTGTCCGTTTATAATAAAACGGTGACTACAGACAGCACTTCCAGTGAGCTCTGAGTGTCATTCTAGCAAAATGCCAAATCTGAGGGGGGGGAGGAGGTGGTGGGATCCTCCAAATTTGTGGTGGGGCTGGCAGAAGTGGGGGTCGCTTGGGGATACTCCACGTCTGCCACTGGTGACTAATGTCAGGAGCTACATAGCTGGAAGTAAAAGTATTGCCAGCGCGACAGTTCTTCCTTACTGATTTGTTCTACTGAAGTTGTATCCAGAGAAAAGCTCAATCAGTCCATCTCTTTTCCTCTTGGGCACTGGTGAGAGATTGCACTGGGCAAAAAAGGCGAATGGCTAGAAGCAAAAACAGAGAGGGAAATATTTGTTGATCAGCCATTATTAGCATTGGCAGGCAGTGCCTTGGTGAGAGGAGCGAGCATTCATGAAGGCTTCTAGGGAGACAGACGCTGCACACAGACGACTCACTGTGTCGCCTTTCATCTCAGAGCCGAGGGGACCCCACCTGGAGGGGGCTGTCACCGTGCCCGAGGCAAAGAGAAGGAAACCGGAGCTCGGGGAGATGAGGACATCCAGCAAGAGCCACAGCAAGAAGGGACACAGAGCTAGATTCCGAACCCAGGCACCTGTGCATGGCATTGCCTCCTACTGTTTCCAAAGAAGACATTTTTTTTTTATTTTCTGCCTAGAGCAGAGTCTGTCTGTCGATCCTGCAGACCCGTAAGCTCTGTTAAAGGTATAACTCATAACTGAGCGAGTTCTCCAAAGAATTTGTCGAATCACTGAACGATATTATTTCCCCACCTGTGCTTCGGGTCTGGTCTGTAGTTCACAGAGCAATGCGGAGTACTGAGCTAAGAGGCACGTCTCGGAACAGGGTCTTCGGCCGTTAGGGAGGCGGCTGTCAGTGCTGAGAAGCCCGACTCAGATCTCGAGGGTTTCACAAATTTCAAACTCACCCCCACCTTCTGCCTGGGCCCCGACTTAGAAGTCTGTTGGGATTTATACCAACCACCCCTTGCAGCTCACTGGTGGGGACATTTCCTACCAGCGGCACTCCCCCCTAACCTCTCCCTTGGAATTGCACGAGATTTCCCTCTGCACCCCATAAAACATGCTCCCATAAAACATGAGGCTCTGTCTCTCCAGAGATCAGGAACCACTGGGAATGCTAATTCAGTTCAGAGAACGAGAACGTCTGAATTCTTGTTTTATCTGCCAATACTGATGATTTATACAAGCTCGGGAAGGATTCTTATCCCCTCGGAGTCTCATTTTCCCCTTTGAAAATCGGAATTTTAGCACAAACTGCTGTTAATCCGGAGTCCAACCAACTGGAAAATTCATTACCAAAATGTTTTTTTTTTTTTAATCAGCCGTTGGGAAGACCAATGAGCCGGAAGAAGACCCAAGGTAAAAGCCAAGTGCTCAGGTGCTAAGAAACATGATGCTCGCGCCTGTGTTCATAACTGTTTGCTTTTCATTATTTTAGCAAAGAAAATTCCCCTCGTTCTACGGGGCATGGAGGTGGAGGCAGGAGGCTGGTGGGAAAAGAACCAACCCAGGAAAAATGGAGCAAGCCCAGGAAGAAAAATACTAACAGGGAAGAAGAGAAGAGGAAAGAGAGAAACCCGGGTCTGCAGACTTGCACAGAAGAGAACAGAGCGGGAAGGCAGCAACAGAAGACAAAAGAAAGTGGTGGATAATCTAAATGTGCAACCGGCAGGCAAGAGCTGGGTGGTGTGCTGGGATATAGGCCAAAGTATTTCAAATTGTGTGCAGGGGAACCCAAACAAGAACAGCTTAAATGAGAAGCACGAGCTCCCACCCAATGTAAATGTCAGCGTCGTATAAAATGGGTGGAGCTGGAAGGGTTGGCGGAAGCCTGGGCTGATGGTGTCTTGTCTGTGATCCCGGCATCGAGGCACACACCTGAACTTTCCCTGGGTGGCCCGTCGTGGTGCAGTGGACTCGAGGGGGGGGTGGTGAACACCAAGGCTTGAGCCTGCCTGCGTCTCTTCTTAGCTGTGTGATCACGAACAACTGTTAACCCTGCCCTGAAAATAGAACAATACCGCCTGGCGCGGTGGCTCACTCCTGTCATCCTAGCACTCTGGGAGGCCGAGGCAGGAGGATTGCTCGAGGTCAGGAGTTAGAAACCAGCCTGAGCAAGAGCGAGACCCCTGTCTCTACTAAAAATAGAAAGAAATTAGCTGGCCAACTAAAAATATATAGAAAAAATTTTCCAGGCATGGTGGCGCATGCCTGTAGTCCCAGCTACTCGGGAGGCTGAGGCAGGAGGATTGCTTAAGCCCAGGGGTTTGGGGTTGCTGTGAGCTAGGCTGATGCCATGGCACTCTAGCCTGGGCAACAGAGTGAGACTCTGTCTCCAAAAAAAAAAAAAAAAAATAGAACAATACCTACTTTCTTGGAGTTGTTCTGAAATTTAAGTCAAACAAAATACATAACGTCATAGGTGGCACCAAGGGGCGGGCGCTCACTAAATGTCAACTCCGTCAGGCTAACGGTTTGCAAGCGCCTAAATTAGCTGTCGCCAAACAGCATCCAATACACGCGCTTTCCGTTAACGGCCAGAGCGACTCCGGTCTCTGGCACCAGCGGAAGATTTACATTAGGGAATGCGGTTGACTGGCTGGCCATGTGTGCTCTCTGACGGATGGTATTTTAAAAACCGGAGCGAGTGTATTGCATGCAAGATACATTTGGTGGAGAAAAAATATTTAGACTACGAAACCGCAGAAAAAGCTTGTGAATTTTTTAGAGATGTAATTGCAAAACATGGCCCGGCTCCAAAACCATTTGAAATGCAGATAAAAACAGTATGTTTTGGAGATACTTGCTGAAATTCATATGAATGCAATGCCTTGTCTTAGGGCTACAGGCTCAATAAAATAAAACTGTTGGGGTGTGAGAGCCACAACCGTCACTACCCTGGAATGGGTGGAGGACACACGAACTTGGTGCTCACGGAAGCCAAGTGCATCTAGTCAAAGACATTGGTCGTCCTGATTTGTTTCAGAGTGTACACTTCCGGTGAAATTACAGTTTTAGTAGAGACAGGGTGTTGCTCTTGCTCAGGCTCGTCTCGAACTCCTGACCTGGAGCCATCCTCCCGCCTCGGCCTCCCAGAGTGCTAGGGTTACATTACGGCCAAAATTAAAATTTTACATTGTAAGTTTGCCTGAAGCAGAATGCTACCTAGGATTCACCCTGGTAAGCAGGATTAGTACCTGAAATACTTTTCCCATCTCTTTGCTTGCCATTAATATATGCCATTGATTCAATCTCTGTGCCCAGATATTATTCAAAATATAAGATTGACGATTACAGAAACTACAGCCCGAAAAAGTTGTTCAATCAGAAGACTTTTGTTCTTGGATTAACACAGAATAGGTGATTCTGAAAGAGCTTTCTGAGCTTGGAATTCTGTTAGAAGGAAAACAAAAACAGTTTGGTATTATTTTGCAGAAGTGAATTCCAATAAAGAATTGGAATACTTTCACCTTTCAATAAATTCCTAACGTGAATTCAATTAATGCGCTAGTCAGCTTCAAGTGATGAAATTTTTAATCAAGCAAGTTTCACGGAATTTTTTAAAATTTTTTTCTGCTCAATCAGTACAACCACAAGCCAATTTCCTATCATAATATGTTAGTTTGAAAATAGATTTTCTTTGCACTACATTAAGCAAAGCTAGGGCATGTACAACTATGCAATTTATCCAGTTGTGTTAAATAGTTAGAAGCCAGTTTACCAGTTACTCCCCGCTGGGAGTTTCCAACCTGCTCTTTGGAAGTTCAAAGCTGAATTGACACATATATGCTTGAGTATTTTCCACATGTAAAATTTATTTATTTGAAATATGATAGGACAGAGACTTCATGAAATAATGCCACGTGACTTCAGAGAGGATTAAGACATAAATTATTTTTAATTGATGTTGGATTTCATGACTCAAAGATATTCTTATCCTCCTGTCTTAAAAATGCACTGTCATTAGAAGAGGAAATTCATAATTTAAAAAAGTCAACAAAAATTCCTTTGACCACTTATTGATTATATTGTTCTCTGTTAAGCAACAGGAAATATGTGCTGGACTTTAAAATGCTCTGGGATAACTACATTTTCCGATTATTAATATGAGAGTTTTAATTTTTTTAAGCCTGCAACGTTAGACTGTTCAAGGATAACTCTTCAGTTTAGAACCTGGGTTATCGTAGTCTGTTTATATTGGATGACTTTGTGTTTGATAATATGTTGCTTTGGAGGATTCCCCAGTTGTTTTTACAAAAGTGCCATGTATTGTTCTTCTCATCACTCTTTTGTGGTGTCTGACTCTTCCCCACCTCGGCTCCCATCGCCACACTCCTTGCCTGGATTACTGCGAGTGATCTGCTTTTACCCAGATTGTCCATTATCCTCAAAAGGATGGCAGAAATCACAAAAGCTGTGTCCTGCATGGGCCAAGGCCACCATGAGCTTAAAGGCAGAAAGTTAAGCAAAGACCCAGTTGGAACAAATAAGTTGCAGGTTGTCTGTCTGAATTAATTCCAGAGACAAAGCGTCGAGACACCTACAAGAAACCTCTTGCACATTCTGAGCTGCACCCGTGAGGCTCAGCTGTACCACGGAAGGGTCCGGGGCGGGCTGCAGCCGCCAGCCCTGATCCAGGACCCTCCACGTGGCCGCGTGAACTTAACCCCGTCGGGAACGAGAAGGCACATGGCGCCTTTGCACACCGGCCGTGGCTGTGTGTGGTTACAGCTGTCAGGTTCCTTACTCCAGTTTTAGATTGCTGGGCTCTGGGCCACCGCGCTGAGCAAGGAGAGGCTACCCCAGGGCGGCGGGACCAGACCAGAGCCGGATCCCAGTTGCCGGTCTGCGGCACTCACTGCTCGCTGTCCCAGCTCCGTCCTCTTCGTAAGAGAGAGCCACGACCTTCCTCGTCCTGGCCGGAGACTGCCGCCCTTTGGTGACAGGGGACTGTTCCTTCACGCAGTGCAGCACAGCGGGGGTCCGGAGAGGCGCACGGTGGGGAGATAGGGACGGCCCTGCTGGGAGGACACCTGAGCCACTGTCACTTGGTGCCGAAATAAGAGGACAGGAGGTGTTATCTGAAAGTCAGATGTCTGATCTGGGTAGAGGAACTGAAAAAGAGAAAAGAAACCATACTTACAAATAACAAGGTTGAGAGAGAGACTGAGAAAAAGTGCCTAAAAGTCAATCGGGGTTTCTAAATACTCTAGTCACTCGGCTAACCGCATCTTACACGCTTGACTCGGGCCATGCAGGATGGAATAATCCTTTAGAATATGTAACGACCGGCTGACCCCTGCTGCGGTGGAGTCCCAAGGCTTCTTTTGTCCCGGTGTTCCTGTCCCAGCCTCAGAGCTCCCTGGTCCCCACCCCAGCCTCCCCCAGGCCTGCAGGGCTGTGGGGTTCCTCGTGCAGCTGAGTGGAGAGAAGCTGACGTCAGCACCGGAAACAGCGCGCAGGGAGCCCCCGAGTGGGGGGCCGCTTTGCCGACAGTTTTGCAAGCCTCAGTAAATGCCAACGGCCCCCTCCTCCTCTCTCCGTGCGGTTTGCGTGTTGGGGGTCTTGCAAGCTGGAGTTGGGGTCTCTGTGGTCTGGCCCATGAGGCTCTGGGAGGGAGCTGCCCAAAGGAATCCAAATACCGGTTCCAGCTTCATGCTCCCTCTTATCTGTCCTCCCTGGAGATAGGATTCACTGAGGCTACCACTAAGAAGAGCCCCTGCTCTCTGGCAGCTCCCAACCTAGAGCAAACCCCACATCGCCTAGCCCGAGCCTGAGCCCAAGGTTGCTCCTAACATCCACCGAGACTCCCCTAGTCCCCACCATGCAGATGCCCAATGCACACGCTCTCTCTCTCCCTACAGCTGGTGACAAACCCAACCTGTTCGACCGCCTGTGTGCTCCTGGTGGCCTTCGGCTGCAGGGCACGTGCTCAGCAAGAGCTAAGCGCTGTTCTAGGAGCTCATTGAATGCTCAACATTTTCTTTGTCCAGAAACCTGAACACCTCAGGCCCTACACACGGTCGGTATCGTAGGAAGACTCTGCTCTTTGTGCTGCTGCTGTTTCACTCTTGGTCACCTGTGTCGAAAGCCACATCCTGCGTCGCCGGTCAGGAATCTTGAATCGGTGAGCACGTATTGAGCGGGCATCTAGGTTTGCTCCAGTTTGGGAGTTGCCTAAGCTCTGGGCTAAACCTTACAGGGAAGACTTTGTCCCTACATAGTTTTGACTACCCACCAAGGCAAGGACCGTATACAGCATGGACACCGCACGCTTCTCATGTGGTCCCTGGAAGCTTCCATCTACCGTGTTCCCCGAAAATAAGACGGGGCCTTATATTTATTTTTCCTCAAGAAGACACCCTACAGCTTATTTTCAGGGCATGTGTGTGTGTGTTTGTTTTTCTTTTTAAGTACAGTACAGCAATCTACATTGATTTAAACAGAGTTCAGTGGTCTTCTTCTGGAACATCATCATCACTCTCCAAATCCCGAACTCCATCCTGAATTTCTTGCGACTCTATTTCCTTTAGAACCA